CACTGCACTTTTATCAAATCTCTACTGTATATGATATTTATGACTGCGGATTCCATACAAGTGCTGCGTCATGCACTCGTGGAATCAGCACGGTCACAGATTGCATTGCAGGAGTCATACCAGTTATGCTTTAGATTTTAAACAAGTGTAATTTTCAAAATACGCCTGTGTTGTGACTTAGGAAGTGTTTCTATGAAAGGATTAGCAGTCAACCTTAAGAGTTAGTTTACAAGAGACTGTTAACTTTAAATTAATATATATCTCATATCTTAAAATTTCATCCACATTAGAGACTATTAACTTTAGTAAGTACACTATTAATTTTTTAATAATGAAAATGTAATGGATAATGACAACATCATGTGCAATGCTCTTGTTAACAATAAAAACCAGCTCATACTTGAAAAGGCATTTTGGATCATTATAAACATGTACAAGTGACTCACATTACTATACATCAATGTCACCGCAGAGATGGTTAGATTAGTTCTAACATGATTTTTGTTTAAATTGTGTCACAGGAAGCCCTGCTCCTGGCCCTGTGCCAAAGGACCATATACGGCTCTACAGCATGAGATTCTGCCCTTTTGCCCAACGGACAAGATTGGTGCTCAATGCCAAGGGAATTAAGTGAGTACAAACATTAATGGGCATTAGTGAGTTATTTAGTTAGTATGAGGCTTTTTTGTTGTGCAGAGGGTGTGCATGACATTGCATGAATAAAATGATTTCAAACATGTTTGGGGAACAGTAGTGTCTGCTTTGAGTGAAAAGAAAAGCCCCTATGAATAATTGTATTTTGCCCTAGACATGACATCGTCAACATCAATTTGAAGAATAAGCCTGATTGGTTTCTGGAGAAGAATTCTCTTGGTTTAGTGCCAACGCTGGAGACCCCGAGTGGTCATGTGATCTATGAGTCACCAATCACCTGCGAGTACCTGGATGAGGTCTATCCTGAGAAGAAACTACTCCCATCCGACCCGTTTGAGAGGGCCCAACAGAAAATGCTGCTGGAGCATTTCTCAAAGGTATTTCCCAACTCATTCCACAGGATAGTATGTATGTATGTATGTCTTGCTAGATTTAATGAATTCAACGGTTTCATCAATATGAATGGATGCTCTTTTTAGGTGACTCCCTACTTCTATAATATCCCTGTTGGCAAGACTAAAGGAGAAGATGTGTCTGCACTTGAAGCAGAACTTAAAGAGAAACTCGCCCAGTTTAATGAGGTTGGTTGAAATACTGATAATATCATAACTGAGTGGAATAAAGATCCAATATTGTATTTCTGATGTTAAACGGATTTCAGGAGATACTTTTCAGTCGAATTCAGATCTCAGTTTCACATCCTGCTAAAATTGTGCTTTAAAGGGGTCATATGATGCGATTTCAATTTTTCCTTTCTCTTTGGAGTGTTACAAGCTCTTGGTGCATAAAGAAGATCTGTAAAGTTGCAAAGACTAAAGTCTCCAATCCAAAGAGATATTCTTTATAAAAGTTAAGAGTCAACCACGCCTACCTAAAACGGCTCGTTCTAACACGCCCCCACATGTCTACGTCGCTATGTGGGAAGATTTGCATAACGGCGCCCAAATGTTCATGCACGCCCGCCTGCCCGCTGCCGCTCACTCAAGCCGGCCTCCGCTCAGTCTAGGCCTCCGGTTCTGACTCGCAGTCTGTAAATACGTTTTTATATTTAAAGAATTTGCCACTGACAATTCAAACGCGAGTTTTGAGCAGTGTAGTGTAGGGCTTGTTGTTTGTCATTTCTCCGATCACAAATGCAGACATGGTTTTATGTTTACGCGGCGCGATGCAATGCGTAAAAAGACAGTATAAGTAATTATAATCCGTAATTATGTCCCCACTGGATGCAGCAAATGCCTCGTTTATAATGGGTTTTAATGTTTTTGTCTCGTCGCTCCAGCCGGACAGGGCATCACAATATGGTAAGGGGCGTAACATTTCCATCACACGCTTGAGGTATTCGGCCAATCACAACGCAGTGGATAGCTGGCCAATCAGAGCCTCGCTTTTCAGACCGATGAGCTTTGTAAAAAATCGACGAGTTTCAGAAAGGCGGGGCATAGAGGACAAACAATAATGTACAGTATGTGGAAAATAATGTGTTTTTTGAACCTTAAACCACATTAACACATTTCATTACACCAAATAATGTTCTTTTTAGCAACATCGTATGACCCCTTTAATGGCTTTTTTCAGACCCTTGTCAACAAGAAGACCAAGTTTTTTGGAGGAGATTCAATAACAATGATTGACTACATGATGTGGCCATGGTTTGAGAGGATGGAGATGATAGATCTGAAGCAGTATGTTTTTATCTTCACATTTTTATCTACACATCTATCACATTTATTAAGTGCACTGGCAATAGAGAAAGAGAGATGGTAGATTATGGCCGAAGTAAACAAATGCAGACATTTTACTCAATAATAAAAAAAGATGTTAATTTCATTTTTTAATGAGTATGAAAGAGTATTAAATGTAAACAAATTATTTAAACTAAATTGGTAAGAAACTCAAATTCAGTTAGACTTGTGCAAATGATTTCTTCTAATATTAACACTCTCTCTTCCTAATTTCCAGCTGCTTGGATGACACTCCTCGGCTGAAGAAGTGGACTGAACACATGTTAGAGGATCCCACTGTAAAAGCCACAATGTTCAGCACCGACACCTACAAGGTGTTCTACAAGTCCTACAAGGAAGGAAATCCCGATTATGATTATGGTTTATAGAATAAATGATTGTTCTCTGGTAAAACACACCTGTCTGTTTTAACAGATATTGATTCAGAAATTACATTAATATCAGTCCATCTTTTATACTGTGATGCTGATTAATATGAAAAGAGAATTTCATGCCTGGTATATCAACCTTTTTGTCTCTTTGTGGAAATCAAAATTCATAAATCTAAAAATCTTATATAACTGGTAAGGTTATAGTGCCTGATTATTATAATTTTTTCTTTATCAGAAGGAATTATATGCAACAACAAAATTTGTCAGTACAATGAAATAAAATAAATATTCATTCAATAGATGAAATATTCTCTACACGGTAAACATAGTAAACATTTTTGACTAATCCATTTTTAGACCAGCTTCATTCTTTGATGGCCTGTAAGGAGATATTCCAGTATAAATGCTGTCGTTACTATACTGGAATATAAGTATGCCAACTGCAGGTACTGTCCCCTGCTCAAGGTTTAACAGGGTTTTCATTATCTCAGTTCAGTGGTCACACCTCTGGAGTTTAACCTGCAGTGTTTGCATAAATGGCCCTAATAGCCCTAATCATTAGGTGTCCACCACTTCTCTAGTGAGACACCATCATACACCAAGATCTCAGGATTATATGTGATCCATAAACTTACCAGAAGCAGGTGCCACTGAGGTTTTACAGACATGGAGGAAAGATAACCACCTAAATCTGTCCTCTTCAGCTCACCATAAAAGAAGAAGAAGCAAATACCATGATAAGTACTAAATCTATAGGAGTTTTTTTCTTCTGTTGAACACCGGTGATATTTTAAAGAATGTGGAGAACCAAACAGCTGACGGTAGCCATTGACTTCCATAGTGTGAAAAAAAAACAAGTCTTAGTCAATGGCTACCATCAACTATTTGGTTCTTCAAAAGATTTTCTTCTGTTTTCAGAAGAAGAAAGAAACTAAACATCTTTTTTTTCTGCAGTAGTCACAGTTGATTATAAAATGCAGTAAAGGGGTTAGGTGATTTTTCGATTCTTCACTTGTTTGCTGAAGTGCTCCTCCACCCTGTCCAGAACAATAAAGCTAAAAACTAACAATGGACATCTGCCAGTTGCCTCTTAAATATTTATTGCATTGCTAAGTGTGACTTCGCACAACAGAAGCTTTGAGATGTCTGTGTCATAACCTATGAACAAGTGACCCTTGTGTTAGGGTAAATTCACAAAAATATATTTTTTTCTCCAGAAAGGTCTATTCTGACAAACTAACATGCTGACTCATTCTGCAGCTGTAGAACTGCAAATTGAAACATTTGCATGACTTTGCAAGACACCCACACTAACAACAGAAACATAAACAGTGAGCATTCTGTGGAAACATAGATTAGATTGTCTTTTTATTTAATAAGATGTTGTACTTGACCTGTGATACAGATAAGAAGATAAAAAGTCATTACACAATCCAGAAATCAGTTGTCATCCCAACTCTTACGTTTGCAATACGATACAAGAAGCTATATTGTGAATATAGTCATGTCTGTTGTTGTTAGACAAGGATTAATAAATGGTTAATAAAATGAAGTGAAATGGAAACTGGGGACATTTCCTAGTTCAAAGGCCTATATTGAAAAATTATCTATGAATTAAAAAATGCGAGAGAAAAAAATCCATTTTTAATGTTTATAATTGTTGTGGGCTCCATACACTAAGGAATTATTATAATTAATTATTATGATGCTTGCAGGTCAAACTGTCCCCAACTGATTTTGTTAATGTTTTCATTTCACAAACAACATTAACTCACTTTTCAATTTATGTTTTATGTTTGTGCTTTTGGAGGCTATGTTGTATAACTGTGAAATAAATATTAAAAGTAGTAAGAACACGCACTGTTTTTAAATTGTATCCTTCCGCTAGAAGATAAAATCTCTGGCAGAAAAAAACGATCAGTTGTAAGAGCGCAGTGATACGAGGAATATGTGTTCCGCAACAGAGCTGTCACTTCTTGGTCTGGTAGTTCATAGTTGATTGTACAGGAAACACAACACGGCATAATCGGAGAAATGCACAGTAAATCAGTACATCCGAAGATACTAGTAGACTTCTGAGCAGTTCATCTTTTATAGTCGTTAAATAGTTATGGTATTTCTACTCTTCAATCGACGAGAAGTACCTTTAAGAACCTTTTGTAGTGAACAAGAGCTTTATTTTGAAAGTAACATGGGTGTAAGTTAATAGTAAGTATGTAAGAGGAGGAGTCATTATCTTCAGCCACACCTATTCTTCCATAAAAACGCAACTTTCTAGCTAACGTTTACTTCAGTCAGGTCAGCCGGTTCAACAGGTAAGCAAACGCGGAATGAATTTTTGTTTGCTTTTAGTAAAACATGTTAAGCATCTATGATAGCCGCAAAAGTATTTGTTCTTCCTTCAGTTATGTAACACATACAGTTTTTGATTCTTATGCATAAAACGCTTACGTTAATGTTTTTCTATTGTTTGTAGGCTCACCATCGATTGTTTCATTTCCTCCTTTAAGATCTTCTTTAAGTGAACACTCTGATAATGGCTCCATCTCCAAAATGCCACGGAAAAGGTAAGAGAAAGCATGCTTTCATTGTTTGATCTATAACTTGTTAATGGAAACGCATTCATAAATACACCCAGATATGAATTCACGTTCGTCTGCATGGATGTTCAGCTAGTTTCATTACCAACCCGGTTGCAGAAAACTCTCCCAGATGTTATCAGACCATGACGTTGCGTAATCATTGTTATTAAAAAATATATATTTCTGATAAAACAGATTATAAACTTTAAAAATGTAATTCATAAACAGTTAAGAACCGGGACAGCTTAGTGGACCACATTATATGTTACTGATGAAATTCCATCCATATTATGTAAATAACTTTTTCATAGCCTTTATATGTAAATATGTCCGTTATTGTGCCCCATGTGTTTCATTGGTGTAACAGCAGGTCCTGCTCCCGGACCAGTGCCGAATGGTCTTATTCGCCTCTACAGCATGAGATTTTGTCCGTTTGCTCAGAGAGCAAGACTGGTGCTCACTGCCAAGGGAGTTAAGTGAGTACTAATGTTGACCTGCTGTGCAGTATTGGGTTACATGGAGGTTTGAGGTGTGCCTAATGTGTACATATGATATTTAGAGTGTAAATTCTATTTGAGTTTCTTAATTAACATTTTTTTGTTGTGGTTGCGAGGAAAATCACTCTTAAATATCTATCCACTAACTAGTAGGCCTATTGATTTTATATTCCTTTTACATAGACATGAAATTATCAACATCAATTTGAAGGATAAGCCTGATTGGTTTCTGGAGAAGAATCCTTCAGGGACAGTGCCAGTATTGGAAACCTCAAGTGGTCAGGTGATCTACGAGTCACCAATCACCTGCGAGTACTTGGATGAGGCCTACCCTGAGAAGAAACTGCTCCCATCTGACCCGCTTGAGAGGGCCCAACAGAGAATGCTGCTGGATCATTATTCAAAGGTAGGCAGTTTGTCATTTTGAAACATGTACCTTATGTATCTTCATTGTTTTTTTATTTCAAGTGAATTTATGCATCGATTTTTGGAAATTCACCCTCATTTCAGGTGATTCCATACTTCTATAAGATCTCTATGGGCAAGAAAAGAGGAGAGGATGTCTCAGCAGCTGAAGTAGAATTTACAGAAAAAGTCTCCCAACTACATGAGGTGGGCTAAAATTCTTACACTTTCTGAAAGTATACCATAACAATGTATTAACTGCTTTTTTTAAATACCTTTTTTCAGTATCTGGCGAAAAAGAAGACCAAATATTTTGGGGGCGATTCAATCACAATGATTGACTACTTGATCTGGCCATGGTTTGAGAGGGCAGAGATGATGGGCGTAAAGCAGTACGTTTTTTTAAATTAGTACATGTATGCAATATATAATGAATGTATGATAAAACATACTGTACATATTTTACCCGACAGCAAGAGGAATAGTGTGCTGAGTCATAGAGGTTAAGTTAAACAGATATGAAAACAGTGATGAATGACTGAGATTAGTAAAGGTAGGGCTCTGGTTCCAGCTGAATTGAAAAGCACTTTGGTTCAGTGAACTTTATGCACACAAGTACATGTCTTCACAAGTAAACTTCTTGTGAAGCATAGCTTGCTTGTAAACCTAATAGTTCTGTGTCTCTATTTGTGCTTCAGTTGTTTGGCCAACACCCCTGAGTTAAGGAAGTGGATTGAATGCATGTTCGAGGATCCAGTGGTCAAAGCCACCATGTTCAACACAGAGGATCACAAAGTGTTCTTCAACACCTACATGGACGGAAACCCTAATTATGATCATGGTTTATAGAGTAAAATAACTATTTTCTTAGTCTAAGTATTTTTATACCGAATATATAGCCAATTGTGCTTTTAAGCCTCAGACCTTAGACTAGATCCCAGAAGGCCATGTAAAAATGGCTACAATGGGTATATTACCATGTCTGTCTTTCATACATGAATATAAATAAACCAAACATACATTATATTTTGGACAAATCTTATATCCTTGTGTTTATTCCTTTAATCACTTATCTTTCCAGTAGGTCATGGGGTTGAGTTCCAGAGAAATCAAGAACTGATAAAACATAAATGTGTACCTTGAATGCAGTGTAACTTGCTTTGGATAAAAGCTTTTGCCAAATGCATAAATATAAATCTCTCTATATATAACCAGTTTCCTCTTTGGTCACAAGTGAAATGCTACTGAGCCATGCACTGCATGTCATGGGGCTGCACAACAATATTGCTTCCTGGGAGGGGAAACTGCACAACTGCATAAAAGTTTGTTTAGTGCATCTCTGTTTAAAAAAAAATCCAAGACAAAGACTACAAAGAGTAAAACCAGTGCAAAGTACTTTTCAAACCTGTGAAACAGCTTCTGCTTGGGCCTGTACATGCCACTGTGCACCATTTTAGATGTGCTTCCTGCTCATACATTGTTTAGGCATTTCAACAATCACTTGTGTTGACATACAAGATCAAAACTGATAATACTGCTAAATACTCTGATAATGTTACATAATTTAAACTCTTAACATATTACATCATTTGCAATAACTCATGGTTCAAAGATCCTGAATCAGCTGCCAGAATGATGATAGCAAGTGGGTGTTTCTTCAACCATGTGCACTTTTAGCCCTGTGGACTCTAGGAAAATAAACTTTCTTAAAATCCTATTATTTTCTAGCAGCAACGTAATTTCAGCCACATCTCAAATGATGTATTGTGTTTAGTAACATTCTGTGGTGGAAATTTCATTTTAAACTTTCTTTGTCTTGCTAAGGACAATTTCACAGCAAGCATTTTAGAAATTTTAAATACATACTTGATTTAAATTATTTCATAAACAACATTACAGCTGATGCATGATAAAAATAACTGTTATTAGGTGATATTTACCTTGATTTTCTTGATTTACCTTATTTCAACTCCAGCATGCTCTACACTGGCACTGTCCCCTTGGTAAAAACAAGCAAACAAACAAAAAACAGTAACTTTTGCAATAAACTTGATTATTATTATTATTATTAGATGCAAAGTTTGTTTATTGTTGTGAAAATAACACCAAAACAAAATTGAAAATGTTAAAATTTGGCCCCTGAGACAAAAAAAATGCCCTTAGTTAAAAAAACACCCAAATATCATCATAGCATCAGAAACAGTCAGTGCTTAACATGTTGTTTACATTTGAGGTGCATAACGTCATCACGTAATTAGGCTGTAAAAATCCCCTGGCCTGCACTCAAAGCCAGAGCAGTGAGCAAGTCTATGTCTGGTCTGTTGAGCTAAATTCATGTCTCACGTAACCATTCGAAAAGTGAGGGCTATATTCTTGAACAAGCACAGAGGTATTTTTAACCATCTCTTGAAAATGCTCCTCCATTTTGGCATATACGTGCCTCTGCAATACAAGAGGCCTAAACAGGTTTATCGGTTCTGCAGTACGGATTATTTTGGGAACCAGAATTTCCTCTGGGATGCAAGGGTTGCCAACAACAACGTGATAGAGTCTCTTTTCCTCCAGGCTTTGCTGCAGGAAGCTGAGCAGATCTCGTAATCTGTGATCGAGATTCTGCGGCTGCCACATCGCAGGACATTTACTCAACAGCAGATGCAAAAGCGCCGTCTTTATATGGTAATTAGAAAAGGCGCTTCTCCCAGTCAAAGCTGTCTGCTTTTTGTGCAAGAAAGAAACTATCTGAAGACAGTGAACATGACACGAATTTGGAAGTCGTTTTGCTAGATGTTTAAGCAGGTTCTTTTCATAAACAGTTAGTGAGAGTTGCCAGTGAATGTCTGAGGAGTTACTAGTGTCAGATGGGAAATGAGAGATGAGGTAAGCATCCGTGTCCTCAAACTGAACGGCAGGGGTAATGTTAAGAGTGACGGTCTTTCCAGACCTAAATCTGATTTTCAGAGCTCCCGGGAAGTCTAGGTTTCGAAATGCCAGCTCAAAATCGTACTTATGAGAGATCTGGCCCCATGCTTTGCTCACCGAGATCTGGAACCATCTCATGATCTCATCTTTCGACAAATACGAGGTGTTCTTCTCACAGAGGAGCTCCACCAGTGTGTGTTCCTCAAGCCTTTCACTCTCATTTCTATTGTGAAGCAGACACAGCATATCATCGCCAAGATTGGTTGAGCCACAAAGACAGTCTGTGCCATTTCTACCTGGTTTTATTAGTTCAATCCTTCCACATCCTTGCAAGTCCAGTGGAATTTCAGTGGAGGGGTCGCACCCGAGCTGAAACTGGAACCTGAATGGCCGTGGAGGAGCAAAAGGCACAATGAGGTCACATGTAGGAGGTTTAGACACCCTCCAGGACTCAAACATGCTGCCTATGCCAACAAAGTCCTCGACTTCCAGGTCAGAATCTCGATCGCAAACACTTCTCAAAGCCTCAAGCAGATCATCCGCAAAGCCCTCGATAAACTCTCGCACTCTCCTGCTCTCGTGGATGAAAGGATGGAAGTGGGTCTTGCAGAAGTTACTTAGGACACCTTTATCTAGGGCTACAGTCTTGGCGCTGAGATATTCGGCACTGGAATCTCCATCTTCATCTTCCATGGAGTCTGGCATTTCAATAGGGATAATATCCTGCCTGCACACCTCAATTGTGAAGAAAATGACTAGGCAGAGTGTGCTCCAAAAGTACCAGCTGTAACTTTCCTGATCATCATCAATCAGAGCTGTTTCTGTTTGTGAGATCTCCTGTTCCAGGCGCTTCTGTTCGGCCTCCAGCTTCTCCTGGTGCTCCTTCATCCGGGTCAGGAGCTTATCATCTTCCTCAGGTATGGTGGTGTTTTCATTAGGGAAGAGCAGCGGGTGGTTGAGGATAGCAGCTACTACCACCATGCAAACTCGTACAATAGGACCTTGCATCCTTCACTGTGCGTCTAGGAAAACACACATTTCTTGATTAATGTGAGCTTCTTGAAAGGAAATGCTTCTTCTAACTTTCGTGAAAACATGTCATTCTTCAGAGTGGTTATTTTTGAACTGTAATACAAAGGACTCTCCTGCACTGGGGAAGGAAGTCAGATAACCTCTGTTAAATGTCGTAAATTAAACCAGCAAGATAACTGTATCCAGCTAAAAGTATCTACTGTACTGAAAACAAGAATAAACAAAAAATGATATCAGGGGGAAAAAATCTGTTGATCTGTTAACTTGAGGTTTGGATTTAAAAAAAACTGGGGTACCATCTCATCTCTTTTTAAAGTATTTTGTCATTTTGCTTTGACTGACGCTATGGAAGGAATCTTATATACACTGAGGAGGACGTTACATGATTGGTTTATTTATAGTGTGGCACTTGGAGTCGGAGTGATTCTTGGAATGAGGCAGATAAAATTCCTCATTTATACAATCTACGAGCTACTGGCACATTCCATGAATACGGTGCACTTTGTTGTCCCGTGATTTTTTTTTTTAAAGCATTAGAGACAACTTCTGTCAATCATTTGAAGTGATATGCAATTCATAGTAGTAAAAAATGTACTCTAATTTTATTTAGCAGTTGTGTGACTTATTTGGACTCTTTATACACCATGATGAGAAGGCAAGCAAATATTCTCATTCAGACTTGTTTTCTGTTTATAGACTTCGTCAAGATTAACCGTACTACTGAAGTTATCATAAGAAAAAATGTACAAAACAAAAATGGATCTTTTGGCCATTTTTTTTTTCTTTTCAAACATTTCAGTGTTTAAACTGCATTTAAACATTTTTGTAAATTAAACCACAGAGAATAAAAAGAAAATAATCCAATGGCTGAAATTTTGCTTTGATCTCAACAAGTTTTCTGAAAGTTAACCACCTCCCCCTTTTCCAGCTGAAAGAAGGCGTTTCAATGTTCTACTACTTATATTGTTTAGGTCCTATTTTTATTAGTGTAGCCTACATAAAACAAATTAAAGTCTATGTGGAACTGCACCATATCCCAAGTTAAACAGCAACAAAATAACACACACACAAAAGTTTTTAAATGGAGTGCATAATGATAGGTAGTTGACTAATATTGGTTGAGCTCCAGTAAAGACGATAATAGAGAAATTTGTGTGGCGCTGCAAAGATTCCCACAGTCTACAAACACTAAAGGGCGGCGTAGGCTATAGACAACAACAGCAATTTACTCATTAAACAGAGAGAAATCTACAAATAGTTAGACACTATTACAGAGGAAATATTTGTTTGCGCGTGACTGAAAGTCAATAGTAAGTTTATCAGCAACAGGGCGAGTGAAACAAACGACTTAAAGGCAGAGCAACTAACAACTCCTCTTTTTAATCGACACAATTGCGTATTTTCTTAACGACGTCTTCGAAGGTGTTTTAACTCCTGTGGTTTACAAAACTTTTATTTTTTACATTTTAATCACAGCTGTTACGGTGTCTTGAATAATCTATGAAACAACAGATGGCCACTACTCGCGCTGAGTCTTTGTTTTAGACCAAGAACAGAATAGTAACTTACACTGTAATCCAAGAGTTAAAGTCCAGCGTTGTTCTTTGTTTCAGAACGATACTGAACCGTCACAAGAGAAAGCGCTGCAGTAGCCTCCCGTTACTCTGTTTCCTCATCTGCTCTCACATCCAGGAAGTGACCAATTGGGCCGTTTTCGCTCCTCTATAAAAAGCACGTGGGTCAGTCCCGCTCTTGAGTCAACATCATGTCACACGCACACACGCACTCTGAGAGCAGTGCTGGGGAAAGTTACTTTTAAAAGTAATGCATTACAATATCGCGTTACTCCATAAAAAAGCAACTAATTACGTTACTTAGTTACTTTTTATGGAAAGTAATGCGTTGCGTTACTTTTTAATTCTGGATAGGGCTTGCTTGTTTGTTTTTAAAATAAAAAAGTTATATTTTTGGCAAATATAAAAGCCTTTTCACACTAAAAGTGAAACGAATAAGCCTCAGGCTGAAGGGAAAGTAAATTTACGTCCGTACAGTAGAATGCAGAAGAGGAAATTTCAACACACTTCAGCAATAAAAAAAGACACAAATGTTCGTCTAGAGTAATTTCTGCTTATTAGTACGGTTGAACTGAATCATCGAAGGTCAGAAGCAAAGACAAAAATCTGTAGGTGGTTAAAATCCTTTCATGCTTTGCATAACCAGATGATTCATCTATTCTTCTTGTACAATTTATCTTCTTCTCAAAGGCAATAGGCTGGTCGATCCTCCTCTTCTTCATTTTTTTGGGCGCTGTGGGTCGTGTCCTAAAGCCTTGCTTCAATCATGCCACTTTTCTGCAGACACGCTACTGGAGCAATTACCTGGACATTGAGCAGAAGCTCTTCGATGAGACCTGTGTCCTTCATGCCAGAGATTTTGCCAGAAAATGTGTGGTGCAGTTCTTTGAGAGTATGCGAGAAGACGTGACTGTGAGAATGCCCCTCTCAAGTGCATTCAGACCCAGCACAGTCCATAATGAATTTGAAGAGGAAGAAGAGGAGCGTCTGCATGGTATAACCAGACAAGATCAGGTGGATCACTTGCTGCAAACCTGGTATGAGTGTAAACCAGAGCTGGACGTGACCAGGATGGCCTATAAGCCCAAAGCTTGTATCACTTGGGAAGATATCAATGGAAAGGCATTGTTCTCTGAAGTGTAAAACTGAGGGGGAAAAAGATCATACCTCTTAAACTAGAATTAATGTAATAAGTGACATGTTCATGAAATATTAATAAAGATGATGAAAAATGTTGACCCTAGAAATGTAATAATTTGAGAACTAATTGACTAATTAATGTTAATTCAGAAGCAAATCTTAAAAAGCTTGCATGTCGGGTGCAATGGATATATAATCATGTATAATTTCTGTCTTCATCAATGTTGCAACGAGCCCTCCAGGCCTGGTGCAATGATGCCTGGATGGAGAATTTTTCATCTGCATAGAATGTAGAACAAAACATTTTTGAATTGTAATGTTACTATCAGATTATTGTCAGTTCAGAAAGCCTTGTTTTAACCTTCCTCAAGCGCTTGCATGCTGGTGCATTTGAATATGCTGGGATTTAGTTTGTGTATTTTTGCATGTCTCTTTGCACACACATTACACAACAACCTCATGGATATGGCTTGGATGCAAATGACTACAGAACCCTGGCAACACCTGAAAAAATATGTTGTATATGTATTTGTCTGTGTATATTGTGTATGTATATTTATTAATAAAAATATGTTTATCATCTTAGCTGCATGGCAGTTAGTCCACTGCGTTCTGTGTTGGTAGTCCATGTTTTGAAATGTACTTTTGCCTTCACCTTTTGAGTAAGGAATATTTTGGCTTGTAGTTATGTATTATGCTTGACAGTAAACAGTTTAAGCACTGGACAATGCAAGGACAGAAATCACACCCAACTATTTAGTTGAGGATGTGTTAGAGCCTCTAAAGGAGGGGCCTGTCACTCATGTGCATCCATGCATTAAAGCGACCTGGTGAACCTTTGTTCACTTTGGACTCAACTCTGCTCCAGCAGTCTTGCTCTCTTTTCTCTCTGACAAGATAGAATAAGTCTTTGATTATTATAATAAGAATATATCATTCATTATTGCTCAGCTGCACTAATTTGATCTACTATTTTGCTCTAAAAGGTGAACTGACTTTTTAAAAATGGATAAGTTTCGAATTATGGTCCAGTTTTTGCAAGCCAACCAAGAGTCGTTCATGAATGGCATCTGTGGGATCATGGCTCTGGCAAGTGCTCAGATGTATTCCTCATTTGAGTTCACCTGTCCTTGTCTTCAAGACTACAATTATGCGTATGGAATCGGCATTCTAATCGTTCCGCCAATATGGTTCTTTTTACTTGGATATGTACTTAACAACAACATATCAGTGTTAACTGAGGAATGGAAGAGACCGGTTGGAAAACGCAGGAAAGATCCGGCGGTTTTGCGCTACATGTTCAGCTCCATGACGCAGCGCGCTCTCATCGCTCCAACTGTATGGGTAGCCGTGACTTTAATGGATGGCAAGAGCTTTTTGTGTGCTTTCAGCTCCACGACGGATTTATCTGAGTTCCTCAACGAGAGCTATCCAAGCTTATCCAAAAAGGAGCTTCTGAAATTACAAGCAAGGATTCCATGCAAAGACGTATTTGATGGGCATGAGATTATTTCCAGAGAAGCAGCCACTAGGTACATTCGCTGTTTGTCACAGGTAATGACATTATTGCACAACTGAATGATGAAATGGGGGTTTCTAAATTATCTTACCTATTAGCCTACCATTAACGCTGGGTAAAGCAATATTTGTCGTTTTGTAAAATTTGGTTTCCTCATTAAATATTCATACGCTTATAGAAACTTCGACGCGCTGAGAGAAAATGAAAACGTCAAACGCGTGGAGAGACAAACATTTGAGAAGAAATACAAATTTATTTTTGTGTTTGTGCGTTTCATACGATTTGAAAACTATTTTTCACAGATAGCCTACAAGAGGTTAGCTACTAAAACAGGACAGGTCCAGGATTAATTATGAACCCAGGTAAATAGACCAGGGATTTAAAAGTATTAGGCCTATAGATGAGAAATGATGGCTATGACATTCAGTTTGATAATATGTAAACTATAGGCCTATAAACTAGGCTAGGCTATATATCAGCGGTGGCGAACTCCGGTCCTGGAGAGCCGCAGCCCTGCAGCGTTCAGCTCCAACCCTAATTAAAACTCACCTGCCTGTAGCTTCCTAGAAACCATTCAGACCTTGATTAGCTTGTTCAGGTGTGTTTGATTAGGGTTGAAGTATAACTCTGCAGGGCTGCGGCTCTCCAGGACCGACGTTCGCCACCCCTGCTATTTATTATAAAACATATAAAACGATATATTGTTTTATTTTTAAATTAATCTGTTGCAATGTTTTTTTTTAGGCCTGTGGATGGACCTTTTTAATGGTAATAACTATAGCAGCCTTCTTGATAAGGGCGATAAGACCTTGTTTCACACAAGCCGCTTTTCTTAAAACCAAATATTGGTCGCACTACATTGATACAGAGCGCAAACTATTCGACGAAACATGCAAAGAGCACGCCAAGAGCTTTGCTAAGGTCTGCATACAGCAATACTTCGAGAGTATCAGTGGTGAAATTGTTCCACAGTTCCAGCTACCCACAAAGAAAGGGAAAGGCAACAAAGATGATGATGGGGAAAACCAGAAGAGTGACGAGGAGAAGATTCTTGGGATCCGTAAAGAAGAAGACATGAATAAAGTCCTGTGGAACTGGCATACATGTAAACCCGCACTATTTCTGAACAAACACGCTCAAAATATGACTATGAATGGACATGCACACTTGGATACACTCACCCTCTCAGATGAGCACTACACTCACACACCTATGAAAAACACAGCTGTGGCATACTACTCCAAAGTCTGACTTCATGGTGTAATCTTAGTCTGGTATAGCAGTACTCACTGTCAAGATCTCATTTCTATTTATTGCATGCCATTTCTTATTTAATATCCTCCTGAGACTCAGTAGTCATTCAATCGAGTCACTGTTAAATAATAGGATAATATGGGCTTTTCCATGATAACACAAAGCAAAGTGCAGGTGTGACCAATATGACAACAATAATATAATGATGATGACGATGTTAATAAGGAATGTCACTCTTTTTCTCTACTTCTTATGCAGCAAATTAAGGTTTACTAAAATTAAGTTATAGCTAAAAGTTAAATTCAGGAGGAGTTTGTTAATGTAATCAGTCATAGGATATCAAGGACATATCAGCAGCTGCTAACGTCACTCCGGGGGTAATTTTTACAGTATTTAGCCTCGCCCACTAACAGCAAGTTGCTATGGCTGCTAAAGCGATCAAAGTAGTTTACCACATGGTAAATTATGTTTCCCACAGTCACAGACAATGTTATTGTCCAACAGAAGCTGCCACAGCAGTTTGCAACTGCATAGCTTGTTTAGTAGGCCAGACTTTTGAGTTTACACCACCTGGTGGTCTTAAGCTCAAGTTTCACTTGCAAAAATATTTAGTTATGCTTTTCAGTTTAAAGCAGCAGCAGGGGCGATTCTAGGGTTTTCATTTTAGGGGGGCTCATCCCCCAGTGAGGGTATAATAATAATAATAGCCTAATAATAATAATAATAATAATAAATATATATATAAAAAAAGAAATATATATATATATTTAAATGTTTGATTAATAGCTATAGCACCCCTAAAAATGGCCTAGCAACGCTCATGAGCAGCAGTATTTATTACTAACTCATAATTGATTACCTATATGATTTTAGGATATTTTAAGATATCTTAAAGCAGTGGATTTTTGGGTTCCAGGGCCCTATAGGAAGCTTTAGCAAACTTACAAGAGGGCCTCAAGATTAATTAAAATGTTTTAAAATAAGACAAAAATAATTTTTGTATAAGGTAAAACAAACAAAAATCAATACATTTGTTGTTTAATTTACCCCTAAATTTAGGAAATTCTAAATGTAATTATTTAAATTTGTAACTAGGCCTAGTTACTTATTTTATGTATGGACACTATCCCAATTTCTGTAAATTGGCTTTGAATATTATTTTGGACAGTGGATGTAGTCAAAAAGGTTAAGAACCTCAATGAGTGTCACTTCAGAACTCATTTTACTCTCCTGTGGCCTGCCATGGGGAATCCGTTTCATGTCCGAGATGATCTCTTCATTCCAAGATGTTCTGTGCACTTCAATGTTCCTATTTTGTATGTCTCCCTAATTAAACACACCTAGTTTAATTCCAAGACCTGCGAAAGGAGTGTCAGATAATTGAGACATGCAAAAAATGTAACTGTAACCACTGTCATATCCATTTTTACTGGGTCTCTCTCAGGAGGCATTTTGAACAATAATTTGCATGACATTTATATGTAGAGAGAGAGAGAGAGAAAGATGTTTGTTTGTTTTTTTGCGCATGTGTCTGATCTTTGTCATTTACTTTAGCCCAACCTGTTTTAGTTAAATGCTTGTTAGTTCCACTGGGGCTGAAACCAGATTGTAATTGCTGTTGGTGATTCACTGCTGTATGTACATAACAGACAGAGCGAGGGAATGATCTCACTTCTTGATCACAACAATCACAGCTACATACAGACAGGTTTTTGTTTTGTTTTTACAATCTGCTTCTGCTTGTACATATTTGTAAAACTATGTGGATGTTCAGCAAGACCATTTATACTCCCTGACGATGAAATGTAAGTCTTCATTTCAGAATTGTTTTGATTTTTCAGTTGATATTTGGTTTTTGGTAATTAATTTGAGTGGCACATAGAGGCTTGAGGAAACTCTGCCCAATTAATTGCTTTTATATGAACTGAATGTACGACTACATCATTAATTTAGAAATTGTATAATGAAGCTGTTTTTGTTTTGCCCCTTTTTTTATGTATAACTGCGTCAACCATAAAGGACTTACTTGCACATCTGTCTTTGTCAGGTTTTAGGGTTAATTTACAGAGACAATAATCATCGTCAGCGAAAAAGCAACGGAGAAAGAGAAATACGCCTATATTAAAATAAGATGTCTGCTTTCCTCTCAGAATTTATAGCACTTTACTTCAAGAGTAAGGATGTCATGGTCTTCAATGGCCTCATTGGTTTAGGAACAGTGGTTGGTCAGACAGCATACAACATCTTAGCTTTCAACTGTCCATGTTCACCAAAGAAGAATTACCTGTACGGCCTGGCTGCCATTGGTGTACCAGCCCTGGCTTTCTTTGTTCTTGGGGTGATGCTGAATCGAAATACCTGGGATGTTGTGTCAGAGTGTCGGACCAGAAGATGCAGGAAATTTTCAGTGACTGCTGCTTTTGCTCTGCTGGGCTCCATTGTGGGCAGAGCAGTCGTTGCCCCTGTCACCTGGACTGTAATTTCCCTCCTGAGAGGAGAGGCGTATGTCTGTGCTTTCAGTGAGTTCATGAACCCCTCATCTTTGGACAACATCTTTTTAACTACACCTGGCCCAGAGATCATGGCCCGGTTTCCATGTAAAGATGTACCTGCTCTATTTATGAACTACTCGGGAGAGGTTGAACGCAAGCTGAAGTACGAATCCCAGGTACTTGTCATATTTCATAGTGTTGTTACAGTCCCTAATTGCATCAACACTTCTGATATGTACAAACTTCATTTTTTCCCTTCTTCATCTAGCTTTTGGGCTGGTTGCTGGTGGGAATCATCTCTCTCGCTGTCTTTCTGCTCCTCTGTCTGAAAAACTGCTGCTCTCCGCTTGGCTATCATCAGGAGGCATACTGGTCCCAGTATTGCTCCAGCGAACAAGCTCTTTTCCAGCGTACAGCTGAAGTACATGCTAAATACCATGCGGCTGAAAATGTCAAGAGTTTCTTTGGCTTTGTGGCCTTGGAAAATCAGGAGAAGCAGCTTCTAGCAGACTGCAAGGGAATCAAGAGCGTCATTCCTAGACTGGAGTGGAACCGTGTCACTGGGGTTTACATGTACAGAGAGAGTGATAACACTCCCATCTACAGCCGCTTAAACAAATGGACCATGTATACAACTGAACATGACTGTTAAGAAATGGACATTTTATTCTTTGAGTCTGACAAATTAGTGTCTAATTAATGAATAATACTTCACACCCAAAAACTAATATCTTTGGAATCAAGAAACACCCAAGAAGGAAAGGAAAAAAAAGTTACATAACAAATAATTGTTATGTACAGTAAATGAAATACAAAAAGCTTGTGATTATTTTTATTTCTAGTGCAAATATGATGTTTTTTAAACAAATCAGATCATTCTTCTGAGAAAAAAAATAATGTTTAATATTCATATATAAATGTTATCTATTTTGAATATCAATGTTAGAAGCACAAAGCTAAATGATTAAAATAATAATGTAAAAAAATCACTAAAAACTAAATAGCAAACAATGAAACAATATTTCTGGACAATGCTATATTGAGTTTTATTAAAGGCTTTATTGATGACGGCTGTTGGATCATTCAAACCTGCAACCTTTCAAAAATCAGCTCAGTCTTCTGTGCCACAATCCACAAATTGAAGTTTGATCATTCAAGTTGAATGTCAAAACATAGTCTATGCATTGCTGAGATGGCCACGGTTGCTGTTAAAGGCAAGGTGTTTTAAATTGTCAAATGGATATTTTGTCAGACATAATTTCAGTTTTGGTGAAGATTTGCAGGAGGAATTCTACAAAAATGTGTCAGTTTTACAGTATAGTGTGCAATTTGCTTTGCTATACTGGACATTGAGACCCACAATATTATGGACATTGAATTATAAAATAATTTTATTTATGTATTTTTAGATATAAAAATATTTTTCTGAAATGATTTACATTTAGATCAGGGCTGAATTGGCAATCTGGCTTTTTTTTTTTGGCTCATAATGGCTTTAACCGTGGAAATATGTGGAAATATTACAAAGTTTATAAACAGGGCCTTAACAGAGGCCAGAGACATGTGAATAGATGCGCTAGCAGAGAAAACACTGTACAGGCACAGGAAGATCACTGTCCGCAAAGCTGGAAATTTTTGAAGAAAATCCTAAATATTGAATTGGCGGTGGGGGCTAATATGAATGTATCTTTGAGAAGAACTGTCTTCAGAAAAGTTTCGATTGCATTTTCTTATCATCTTACATCCGTATAATGCACATTATTGTAGTGTTCATAAGCACAGCGCTGCATTGATAACAGTGGTAAAACAATTTGCTTTGTTTACAACAACTAAATGCTATATCGCTGCTGTTCCATAAGCGCCACCTGCTGGCAGAGAGAGAATTAGCATTTTTTTAACTTTCACCAAGCTAAAGACCATTGTGTTTGCTTTAAATGTTGAAATTACACAATCAAATTTATATAACTGCTCATGAATTTTTGTTTGGATTGTGATTAAAATTCAGTGGTTGCCTCTAACAGAGATACGTAGGCTATATACATATCTATGGTCTTTAATTTAATTTTTTATATTTTTCAACCTTTAATTACATCCTGCCACAGTTAATTTCAAAATCTTTGCAATTTGGGTGGCACCAAATAATTCACTTACAGCTATAAGCTCAGCTGGATTTGCTCTAGACATTATGTTTAGTGCCTTGAAGGCCTTTCTGAAACCAGTATTATTATAAGGTAGACAGTCATGCTAAAATATCTTGTAAAGTGACTAGCTTGAGATTGTATTCCAATTCTGATAGCAGCAGTAGGCGTACTCAAAACAGAAATGTGACCCTGGACCACAAAACCAGTCATAAGGGTCAATTTTTCGAAATTGAATAAATAAGCTTTCCATTGATGTATGGTCTGTTAGGACAATATTTGGCCAAGATACAACTATTTGAAAATCTGGAATCTGAGGGTGCAAAAAAATCTAAATATTCAGGAAATCGACTTTAAAGTTGTCCAAATGAAGTTCTTAGCAATGCATATTACTAATCAAAAATTAAGTATTGATATATTTACGGTAGGAAATTTACTAAATATCTTTATGGAACATGATCTTTACTTAATATCCTAATGAATTTTGGCATAAAAAAAAATCTATAATTTTGACCCATACAATGTATTTTTGGCTATTGCTACAAATAAACCCATGCCACTTATGACTGGTTTTGTGGTCCAGGGTCACAATCTTACAATGGATTCATGGATTTACCCCTGATTTACCAAAATTGCCTGTTAGAAGTGAAATAAAACTATGTTTTGGTTACTCTGAATCACCATGGTAAGACTATAATAATTATTTACATTTTAGAGTTGTTGGGACAGATTTTGCGGGAAATTGGATACAATCATTCATTAGTGCAAGTCGAAGTCATATCCATAAAAAGAGAGTAGCTCCGGCTACTCTGGTGCATGTAGGCCCTATGGTATAAAGCTAAGAGTTTGTTGTCACAACGAGTGAGAAATATATATAATAATCATGACCATGATGAAACATGCAAAAC